GTCCCGGGGAGCCACCTACCCAGCCGACTACAGCTTCCGGTCACCCTCTAAGCCCAGCAGAGGAGTGTGGCACTAACGACGGGAGGAATCAGTCTGGAGAGGGGTACAGCTACACACACACACACACACACACACACACACACACACACACACACACACACACGTAAAGAGGGGCTTCCTCTGTGGAGCGGGCAGGGTGCCACCACTTAGAAGAAGAAGGGGCTTCCCAGGCTGAGAAATCACCTGGGAGGTGACTCCCTGAGCAGGAGGAGAGAGTTCACAGCCTTGGCAGAAAGCAGAGGACTCCGGGCAGGTTGGGAAATGAGAAAATGGCTGTCAACGTCCCCAGGAACAGCAAGTGCCCAGCTCCTCTTCCCCGTGGCAGTATGTGTTCCTTTGTTTTTGTTTTTGTTTTTTTTTTTTTTTACTGGAACTTCCTTTCAAGAAATCTCCTCGTATTCCACAGTTGGAACACAAAAAAACTTAAAAGCATAAATCCCTCTGGCTCTGAACAGAACAGATCCAGAACTTAAAATGATTCACTGAGGAGCTGCCTGAGTAGCAGGTGCCTCCCCAGAAGTTGGGTTTACAAATGATAGGACACCAAGACAGCAGGACCCAAGCAAGTGTGGGGGAAGAAGGTGCTGATCTCGCTTTCCCTGCAGAGCCCCCCACAGCTGAAAGACGGCAGCCCACGGACATAGTCTTAGACTGCCTCTTGGTGACAGAAGACAGGCATCGAGGGGCCTTTGCCAGCAGTGGGGGCAGGGAGAAGGCCTTGCTTGTGCTGAAGCAGGTGCCGGTGCTGGATGATGGCTCCCTAGAAGGCATCACCGATTTCCAAGCCAGCACAGTGGCCAAAGATGACCCGCCGATTATCTTCGAGGCCTCAGGTAAAAGCCTTCCTTCCTCGGCTTCCTCCATGGGGACAGCCCAGTCCCCAATCACACCCACCCACGCCTGCTTCCCATCCAACGTCACCTCTGTGTGCCACCCTTCTCCCCAGTGGACTCGGTCCAGATCCCCGAGGCGGAGGCCCTGCTCCATGCCGACTGCAGCGGGAGGACAGTGACCTGTGAGATCTCCCAGTATTTCCTCCAGGCCAGACGAGAGGCCACTTTTGAGGGGGCAGCTTGGTTCATCAGCAACATGCAGGTATCTAGAGGGGGCCCCAGCGTCTCCATGGTGATGAAGACTCTAGGAGATGCTGCCCCTGGAGCTGTCCGGCACCCTGCGCTGAACCTACCCCTGAGTCCCCAGGGTACTGTGAAGACTGCAGGTGAGAACATGAAAGGCAGGGGCGCGAGGAAGCTTTCTGTTTGCTTTAAGTCTGTATTACAGTGTGTGTGTGTGTGTGTGTGTGTGTGTGTGTGTGTGTGTGTGTGTGTGTGTGTGTGCGCCACAGCACACAGGTGGCGGTCAGAGGACAACTGTGGGCGTTGGGTCTCTCCTCTGCGGTGTGGCCCAGGGACTGAACTCTGCTCACTAGGCTTGGCTGCAAGCCCCTTCCTCACTGTTCCATCTCAGCAGCCCCAAGTTTCCCTCTTTCTCGAGCTCCTCTTTCTTCTTTTTAGTTGTGAGAGATGGGATAGAAAGAAGGAACGAAGTCTATAATCTATCATGTAGGTGCTCTTGGGGTACCCCACAAGCATATCCTGAGTCCAGAACAGGGGATGCTGGGAGATCCTTACTTAAATAAGGATCAAAATATAAAAATCATCAGGTAAGCTGGGTGGTGGTGGCACGTGCCTTTAATCCCAGCACTCGGGAGGCAGAGGCAGGTGGATCTCTGTGAGTTCGAGGCCAGCCTGGTCTACAGAGCGAGATCCAGGACAAGCACCAAAAGTACACAGAGAAACCCTGTCTCAAAAAACCAAATAAATAAATAAATAAATAAATAAAATCATCAGGTATTTCCTCCAAACTGGAGATGACTTCTCTCTCACTGGGCTGTCATGGGGATGACGCATGAGGCTGTTCTGTCTACATATGTTGTCCCTGCTCTTAGTTAGCCAAACACCTGTTTCCTTCCAGTGACAGCGAGGCTGGTCTGGTACTCCACAGTAATTACAGCGGAGCACAGGGAGACAGAAGGTGTTCTGTACCTCTTATTAATAAACCCCTGGTCCTCAGGGGGGAGCTAGGACCTGCTTCAGCTTGATGTGCTTTGTTGATGTCCATGGGAGGAGACTAGAAGGAGGAGGAGTGGATGGTGGGGGCAGATGGGGTGGGAGGGAAGGGAAGGAGAGGAGAAGGGAGGGGAAACTGTGGTCAGGATGCAAAATAAATGAAAATATTTAATTAATTTAAAAAAACAGCCCTTGCCCTCTCTCACTTAGCACCACCTACCAGGTACAAAAAAGTTGAGAACATAATGACAGGTATCTGGAGGGTCCAGTTCAGTATTTTGCCTCCAAAAAGGAGACAAGCAAGTCCATAAAAGATGAAAATGGGGGGGCTCCTATCCTATCCCTGGAAGCCCCTAAAACATTAAGCTTTATTATTATTTTGTCCTGTACTTAGGACTGACCCTTGAGCCTTGTGCATGTTAACACAAGTCTACCACTCTTTTCAGTTTTGATTGTGAAATGGGGATCTCACCAAGGTGCCCAGGCAGGCCTTGAACTTATGATCCTGTTATGCCTCCTGAGTCACTGACAGTACAGGTAGGCACTACCACCCCCACTGCCTCTATGGCCCCTATCTAAATGAACCTTGACACATCAGAAAAGATGTCCAGGATCTCCCACAGGTCTTGCGTAGCTTAGTTCTTCTTGAGATTATTCAAACCTACAAATAAAGCCAAGCTGTGGTGGTGCACACCTTTAATCCCAGCACTCAGGAGACAGAGGCAGATGTATCTCTGAGAGTTCAAGGCCAGCCTGGTCTACAGAGTGAGTCCCAGGACAGCCAGTGCTACACAGAGAAACCCTATCTCAAAAACAAAAACAACAACAACAACAACAAAAAAAAACCTACAAATAAGTAAAATAACACACACTCACATAGCCTTGACCTATTTTACCAGTTATTCATCTTGTCGTACTTCCTCTCTGCCTCTGCTAAAATGGTACACATTCTCCCTTTGAACTGACTAGATCGTAGGTACACAACACTTCACCCCCCAGTGTTCCTTCCCATGTGCAGTTATAGCTTATAGCAGAAAGTCAAGGCCATTCTGCTTCGTAATCACCGAACAATGATCTCAGGAGCACATCAAGGGTGGGGAGCATGTTACTCATGGTAACAAGGAATCCAGTGCATATGGAAGAAGAATCGAACAGTAAAGCTGGGTGGGGTTGTGCACATTTGCAACCCTAGCACTGGAAACTGAAGCAGGAGGATCGTGAGTTCGGGAGCCTGTGTGCGCCATGCAGAGCCCCATGAGACAGGAACTGAATTCAATCGGTTCCCACGGTCCAGGGCAGGGGGCTGGAGAAGCTGTCTGTCCACAGCTCAGAGGCCATGCGACCTCAAGGAGGAAACAGTCCACAAGTCACCCTTTTTTTCTCTCCACAGTGGAGTTCCAGGTGACATCAGAGACCCAAAGCCTGCGTCATCTGCTGGGGTCCTCCGTCTCCCTGCACTGCAGTTTCTCCATGGCACCGGGCCTGGACCTCGTGGGTGTGGAGTGGCGGTTGCAGCATAAAGGCAGTGGCCAGCTGGTGTACAGCTTGCAGCCAGAGCAGGCGCAGGCTAAGCGCAAGG